CATCAAGGTATTTTCCAAGGAGTCTTCTCTTCTCATGAGATGGCCAGAGTATGGAGCCTCAGCTTCAGGATTTGTCCTTCCAGTGAGCACTCAGGGTTGATTTCCTTTAGAATTGATAGGTTTGTTCTCCTTGCAGTCCAGGGGACTCTCAAGAGCTTCCTCCAGCACCACAGTTCAAAGGCATCAATTCTTCGGCGGTCAGCTTTCTTTATGGTCCAGCTCTCACTTCCATATATCACGACAGGAAAAACCATAGCTTTGACTATTCAGAGTTTTGTTGGCAAGGTGATGTCTCTGCTTTTTAAGATGCTGTCAAGGTTTGTCATCGCTTTCCTCCCAAGAAGCAGGCGTCTTTTAATTTCGGGGCTGCTGTCTCCATCTGCAGTGATCATGGAGCCCAAGAAAGTAAAATCTGTCACTGCCTCCATATCTTCCCCTTCTATTTCCCAGGAGGTGATGGGACCAGTGGCCATGATCTTAGTTTTTTTGATGTTGAGTTTCAGGCCGTTTTTTGCACTCTCCTCTTTCACCCTCATTAAGAGGTTCTTTAATTCCTCTTCATTTTCTGCCATCAGAGTGGTATCATCTGCATATCGGAGGTTGTTGATATTTCTTCTGGCAATTTTAATTCCGGTTTGGGATTCCTCCAGTCCAGCCTTCCGCATGATGTACTGTATTCTGCATATAAGTTAAATAAGCCGGGGGACAATATACAGCCTTGTCGTACTCCTTTCCCAAATTTCAATCAATCAGTTGTTCCATTCTGGATACAACCATTCTGGATACAACCAAACCACACAAACCCTATGACAGTTTCTTTTCTAGATACAAACCTTTACGTTGGAGACAGCTGAAGACCAAAATAGGGATGTGACAGAAGGGCAGGTAATTTCTTTTTCAAAATTAAAAGTTTGCTTTGTGTCACTTCTCCAATTTTAAATCCCCCCAGAAAAAAAAATTCCATCAACAAGAGGAAAGATGGGTGCAACCAAGTTTCCCGTTTAATCAACTTTGACCCTGAGAAACTACACTTCCTCTCTTAAATAAACAGCCATGCAGAATGGTGCATATCTCTTAATGCCATGTCTAGGGAACAGAGCTGAAGTATTAAGGCAGTGTAATGGAGATTCTTTTCTTGACTCCAAGACAAACTAAGTAATGTTGCCATAGTCTGATAAAAAGGGCGCTCAGCACACATAACTATGGAATGGGCAAATAACATGGCAACCACAGGTGATAAGCTTGACTTCTTAATTATTTTTATTTGTTCTGCAGTTACTTTATCATAGCAATGGCCTAAAGATCACGAGATAGCACTCCCACACGCCCATACACAACTCCTTCTAGACGTTCAGTCACGGCAACTGGACTTCTTTCTTGTTAGGTTGAAATGTTTCGCTACTCATCCAAGCAGCAGCTGAAGAAGTATGATCTTTCAGCTGCCGCTTGGATGGGTAGGAAAACATTTCAATGTAACAAGAAAGAAATTCAGTTGCCATGACTCAACGTCTAGATAACCACACCTAGATGACTGAGAATCTTCACAGATGTACACCTTCTAGAACAGCGATATCAATCTGGGTCCAACTCTTTCACCAAAGAGAACTGTGCCCATAGTTTGGTTTGGGAGTGAATTAATTTCAGAGATATTTAACAATAAACACTGGCTAGTACTGCAGTCTATTGAGTAACTGACTCTAGTAAATCATTGCCTGTGTTATGGGGTGGCCATTTAACATTTGATGGTGCCCAGTTAACATGCTGGTAGTGTTAACCTACAAAGATCTGAAGTGTAATTCCACACTTACTATTTCCATCAGAGGGTCTTCCTTAGGTTCACAGAAGATCTTCAAGTGCAAACAACAGATATGCCCCATATCAGGAGTACAAAGCAAGGGAGAGTGTGTGTTACATTCTCCTTTCTTAGTGAACTAGATTTCCAGTCCAAGCAGGGAAGAGTCCATTGTTACTTTTTAAAAGCCATGCAGTTGTACAAATGAGATCTTATCTACAGTAGTTTGTCCTGTACATGAATTTAAAAGCAGATTAGATACATTCATCAAGAAAGATAAGTCTATAGTACTGCAGCCAATTAGCCATTTTTGTTAAGATAGATTTTTCTTATGGTGCTAAGTACCACTTCCTAGAGGCAAAGAGTTGGCAACGGAGCTCTTTTTCATATATACTGTTAGGCATACATGACATCTGACCCAGAACCTTTTCTCTCTGTTCTCAGTTTTCCACTATACTAAGAACCAGTGTTGTATGGTGGTGAGACTGCACTGGGACTGCAGAGACTCTAGTGGAGATTTGAACTAACTACTCAATTAGGTTGCAACTACATGACCAAATACAACAGGATCTGCCCTGGTTATAGTTAGAGATGGGCACGAATCAGAAAAATGGTGATTCATTTTGATTTCTGATTTGTCAAGGTCGATGAATCACAAATTACACATTTATGATCTTTTTCTGACAAACTGAATTGCCAATTCATTTTAACTTTAAAACCCTATAATATAGTCCCCGCGCACTTAAGAGACACTAGATATGCAGGGAGGCTTCTTTTGACTCTCTGCTACAAGCGCTACAAGTTTGGTGAAGTTTAGGTTTTGGATATATGAGTTATACACCCACAAAGAGCCCCCCCGGAAAGATCCTCCCAGGCACAAAATTCTCAGGGAAGCTTCTACTGGCTCTCTTCTACAATCTCTCTATGTTTGGTGAAGATTGTGTTTTAGACATCCAAGTTATACATCCACAAAATGGGTCCCCCTGGGAAAGTGCCCTTTAACAGCTGGCTTGGGGAAACCCAGTCTTCACCCACCTTGGAGAGACTGTAGGGAATAATTAGTAGAAGCTTCTCTGTGAAAATGATGTCTCTAGATGCCTGGGGGGCTGTTTTATAGCTAAACGAGCTGCAAAATCAAAAATCACTAAAATTCATTGATTTTTATTCATCAGGGTCATTGATTCATACAAATATGAATCAACAAATTAGCAATTTTTTGGGATGAATTTGGTGATTTGTTGTTTTTTTAATTCATGCCAATCTCTAGTTATAGAACAGGCCCATTTAAAGTTTTTTTTCTTTTCTAATCACACAAAGCCCACTTTGATTTATTGCTCCCACCCTTTTTGCTCTTAACATGGATTTTCTTCCTCTGCCACTGGGGCCTTCTCCTTTTGTCAAGCTGGAATGATTCAAATGCACTTTTTCTTGTGTGATCAATCGATTAATTCTTGTAAAGATCGGGGGGGGGTTGTGCATGTCTGTAGGTGGAATTTTGGTGATGTAGGCAGTTGAGGTGTGATGTTCAGAAACATGGGGACACCTGCCCCCATGTTCCCTGATTGTCCTCCAATTTCTTTTTAATTTTTCACATATATGAGATTAGTGCTAGATCACCTTATCACTAGTATTGATATCCTAGTTTAGCACTAGATCATCTCTGGATGAGAAAAAAATAAAAGATATTCCTATGGCATGTATTATTTCTGTACATGATAAGAAGTTTGGAACGCTACTACCTTTTTGGGAATACTGTACAACCCTTTCAAAGCCAAGCAGCTTGACAGTGAACCATGAAAGGATTGGCAGAGGTGGAAACAGAGAAAGGAAGGAAGAAAAGGGGTAGCTGTGGGCTGAAAAGCCAATCACAGTGCATTGAACACTGAACTCCCAGATCAATCGGTAGGTAGCCCCTGTGTGATTATTACTGACTGGAAATTCAGCCGTAATACAGACTGCAAATCAAATTGCAGCAAGTAATTTGCCAGTGTAGTGGCTGCCTGACTCACAGCTCGGTCTACCTTTCAAGGTTGTTGTGAGATTAAAGTGGAGAGGAGGAAAGCCATATGCAGCACACT